TTATTATTTGAACTAACTTAATAAAGAAAATATATTTAGCCTGATAGCTAGTATAACTAATTATAGAATAATTTATTTTTTTAATAATTTTTTTTATTTTTGGTTTTATTTAAGGTTCTAGTTTGGTTTGTTTATTTTTTAGAGTTTGGTTTCTTTCTCATCTCTAGTTTGTACCTATAAATATTTTTATGTGCGTAATGTTATGCAAATATTTTTATACATGTAATAACATGCAAACATTCTTATACATGTAATACCATGCAAACATTTTTATACATGTAATACCATGCAAACATTTTTATACATGTAATACCATGCAAATATTTTTATATATATAATGCCATGCAAATATTTTTATGTACATAATGCTATGCAAACAGAACTTTTTTATTAAATGTAAATGGAATATTTTTATAAAGTTACAAAAGTTACATATTCAAACATTTACAAAAATTTATTATACTTCCTTATAAAAAAGTGCTGAGAGACTTTTTTTCACCATTAACTTGAGTTTAACAGCTGCTCTGAGTTCTGTGCAAACACCCACTATAAGCCAAACCTCATTCTGAGTCTCTTTTTTATAATTTTAAAATATAGTTTTCATAATAATTTTGTAAAATGTCTACTTTTAGGTTTATTCCTATATGTTGAAAATATAAATTTAATGACTAAAATCAACTTAATGATAGTAATGTAACCATTTTTCCCCCATTTTTCGATGCAATATATATAATTCTGTTACATCAAAAATTTTGACTAATAATAACTAATGCCATGCATAAAATTTCTGATGAAAAATAGCTTTGTGAATTTATGCAATGGATTATTAGTTCACGATGAAGTGATGCAATACTAGTGAGTATGATTTGTATAACTATTATTTGGAATGATGCCAGATCTGACAGTTAGTGGATTGTGTTTTTTGATTAGAGAAAAAAGACCATTTCTAAGCATTCAGTCACATATAGATCTGATGTCAATTTGTTATGAAAACTTTTGCCTGCCAAACAAGGAACTTGTAAATTTTTACTCAAATGTATTTAAAATCTATCAGACGATTTATAATGTTTTGACTGATAATAGTATTGATTACTAGGAAACATCAAGTAATATTTTTTAAGGCAAATTTCACCATCTATTAAAAGTTTTTTTTCATCACTAATTTAAGCAAATTTGTAGCTCATCCACATTTATATTTTTATTTTTTTTCTTGTGATTAACTTTTAGATTTTCTTTTTTCAATACTTTTTGAATGAAATGCTGCATTTAAACTTTGCAGTTAAACTTTGTTGTGAATGAGTTGGATTTCAATGCATCAAGTCACCTATTAAATTCATATTCTTTTTCTTAATAAATCTTGATTTACCACTACTTTCCTGTTTTATGTTTTTGTTCTCTTTAAAATATTTTATGATAATTCCAACAGTTGATTGAACAGAAAATTTCAAAACATTTTTTGATTTTCAGAATTTTTATTCAAAATTGAAAAAACTAATCAGATTTAAACAAAGCCAACACACAAAAAACTATTTATGTATGCATTATTTAAAAAAAAAAAAAAAAATTAAAATTGATTTTTCTGAAATGGTTTTTTGATAAATTTTATTCTAGATAGCCTGAATTTCAACTGATTATAGTGATATGTAAATGTCTTCAGCAATCCCTAAATATCAAATTATTGCTACAAAAATTTTACAATATCATCTAATTGAACAAAATCATCAAAAATGTTTAATCAAAAGTAAAAAAATAAAAGGTTGAGAGAAATAAAAATTTTAACAAAAAAAATGTTATTGTGGGTCACCCAAATATATACATACATATGCATACATACATACATACATACATACATACATACATACATACATACATACATACATACATACATACCTACGTACGTACATACATACATACATACATACATACAAACATACATACATACATACATACCTACGTACATACATACATACATACATACATACATACATACATACATACATACATACATACATACATACATACATACGTACATACATACATACATACATACATACATACATACATACATACATACATACATAGATCTTTTGAATAATAAATACATGAAAAGTTTTTTTTTATGAAGATTTAAAGCTTTTAAGATTTTTTACTTGGTGTGTCAAATCCTAAAAATCAGCTTTCATGCACCATCTAAACAATAGGTCAACCAATTGTGAATGTTGAAACTTATTTCTCACATATCAAAACAATTTGTACTTTTTAGTCAAGCAGCTGATGGTTCTCAATGCTAATCCTGCATCAATCTGAATGTTTTGCTTTCAACAAATCAATAACGAAGTTGAGTTTTTTTTTTTTTTTTAATTTTTGGTTTTAAACCTCATTCTTGTTAACACCAATGATGAATCAATAAGTTTTAAAAATCATCAGCTGGTTATTAGAGGTTAATATTTAACAACAAAATACTTTGAAATATTATGAAAACTTTGATAACAAAAAAATATGTTCAGATTATAACACTTTTAAGAAACTTGTAGCAAAAATATTTATTGTAATTTTTTTTTTGTAAACTGAAATTGCAATTTGGTTTCAAAAAACCTAAAAATGTTTTCATCAAAAACTATTCATTTTTATTCATTACTGAAATAACTTGTCTAAATTTTAATATTAAATTAAAATATATTATCATTATAATATATCATTATATACATAAATTCATAAAAAATGCCTGATAATATCATTTGTTTTGAAGCTGTATGCCATAGGTTTACCAACTTCGTCAAACAAATATGATAACATAGGCTTCAAGTGCAATTGTTCTAAATTTTTAAAAGAAATTTTTACAAATAAGAGTATAAAAATATAAGAAACAAAAATCAATATCTTTTTTTTTTTTAGTATAAAACTTTTTTATTAACAACTAATTAGTTTTATAATTTGCTTAATTGTTTGAAAGTTTGTAAAAATTAACTTATTAAAAAATTGAATTGAAATTACACTTACATTTCAAAAATATCAAGGATTCTGTATGTAATATACAATAATAATGATGATTATGGTGGTGATAATGATGGTGGCAGTAATGGTGGTGATAATGATGGTGGCAGTGGTGGTGGTGATGATAATGATGTATGATCATAATAATGATGTATGATGATTATGATGTATGATGATAATGATGTATGATGATTATGATGTATGATGATAATGATGTATGATGATAATGATGTATGATGATAATGATGTATGATGATAATGATGTATGATGATAATGATGTATGATGATAATGATGTATGATGATAATGATGTATGATGATTATGATGTATGATGATTATGATGTATGATGATTATGATGTATGATGATTATGATGTATGATGATAATGAGGTATGATGATTATGATGTATGATGATTATGATGTATGATGATTATGATGTATGATGATTATGATGTATGATGATTATGATGTATGATGATTATGATGTATGATGATTATGATGTATGATGATTATGATGTATGATGATAATAATGTATGATGATAATGATGTATGATGATAATGATGTATGATGATTATGATGTATGATGATAATGATGTATGATGATTATGATGTATGATGATTATGATGTATGATGATTATGATGTATGATGATTATGATGTATGATGATTATGATGTATGATGATAATGATGTATGATGATAATGATGTATGATGATTATGATGTATGATGATTATGATGTATGATGATTATGATGTATGATGATTATGATGTATGATGATAATGATGTATGATGATAATGATGTATGATGATTATGATGTATGATGATAATGATGTATGATGATAATGGTGTATGATGATTATGATGTATGATGATAATGATGTATGATGATTATGATGTATGATGATTATGATGTATGATGATTATGATGTATGATGATAATGATGTATGATGATTATGATGTATGATGATTATGATGTATGATGATAATGATGTATGATGATAATGATGTATGATGATTATGATGTATGATGATAATGATGTATGATGATTATGATGTATGATGATTATGATGTATGATGATAATGATGTATGATGATTATGATGTATGATGATTATGATGTATGATGATTATGATGTATGATGATTATGATGTATGATGATTATGATGTATGATGATTATGATGTATGATGATTATGATGTATGATGATTATGATGTATGATGATTATGATGTATGATGATTATGATGTATGATGATTATGATGTATGATGATTATGATGTATGATGATTATGATGTATGATGATTATGATGTATGATGATTATGATGTATGATGATTATGATGTATGATGATTATGATGTATGATGATTATGATGTATGATGATTATGATGTATGATGATTATGATGTATGATGATTATGATGTATGATGATTATGATGTATGATGATAATGATGTATGATGATTATGATGTATGATGATTATGATGTATGATGATAATGATGTATGATGATTATGATGTATGATGATTATGATGTATGATGATTATGATGTATGATGATTATGATGTATGATGATTATGATGTATGATGATTATGATGTATGATGATAATGATGTATGATGATTATGATGTATGATGATAATGATGTATGATGATTATGATGTATGATGATAATGATGTATGATGATTATGATGTATGATGATTATGATGTATGATGATAATGATGTATGATGATTATGATGTATGATGATTATGATGTATGATGATTATGATGTATGATGATTATGATGTATGATGATTATGATGTATGATGATTATGATGTATGATGATTATGATGTATGATGATTATGATGTATGATGATTATGATGTATGATGATTATGATGTATGATGATTATGATGTATGATGATTATGATGTATGATGATTATGATGTATGATGATAATGATGTATGATGATTATGATGTATGATGATAATGATGTATGATGATTATGATGTATGATGATAATGATGTATGATGATAATGATGTATGATGATTATGATGTATGATGATAATGATGTATGATGATTATGATGTATGATGATAATGATGTATGATGATAATGATGTATGATGATTATGATGTATGATGATTATGATGTATGATGATTATGATGTATGATGATTATGATGTATGATGATTATGATGTATGATGATTATGATGTATGATGATTATGATGTATGATGATTATGATGTATGATGATTATGATGTATGATGATTATGATGTATGATGATTATGATGTATGATGATTATGATGTATGATGATTATGATGTATGATGATTATGATGTATGATGATTATGATGTATGATGATTATGATGTATGATGATTATGATGTATGATGATTATGATGTATGATGATTATGATGTATGATGATTATGATGTATGATGATTATGATGTATGATGATTATGATGTATGATGATTATGATGTATGATGATTATGATGTATGATGATAATGATGTATGATGATTATGATGTATGATGATTATGATGTATGATGATAATGATGTATGATGATTATGATGTATGATGATTATGATGTATGATGATTATGATGTATGATGATTATGATGTATGATGATTATGATGTATGATGATTATGATGTATGATGATAATGATGTATGATGATTATGATGTATGATGATAATGATGTATGATGATAATGATGTATGATGATTATGATGTATGATGATTATGATGTATGATGATAATGATGTATGATGATTATGATGTATGATGATTATGATGTATGATGATAATGATGTATGATGATTATGATGTATGATGATTATGATGTATGATGATTATGATGTATGATGATTATGATGTATGATGATAATGATGTATGATGATTATGATGTATGATGATTATGATGTATGATGATTATGATGTATGATGATTATGATGTATGATGATTATGATGTATGATGATAATGATGTATGATGATTATGATGTATGATGATAATGATGTATGATGATTATGATGTATGATGATAATGATGTATGATGATAATGATGTATGATGATAATGATGTATGATGATTATGATGTATGATGATAATGGTGTATGATGATAATGGTGTATGATGATAATGATGTATGATGATTATGATAATAATGATGATGATAATAATGATGACAATGGTGATAATGATGATGATAATATTAATGATGTATGACAATAATAATTATATGATGATAATGATGATATTAATGATGATGATAATGATGATGATGGTGGTCATGGTGGTGGTGATAATGATTAAAACACTTAAAAAATAAGAAGTTCATCTCAACTAACTTTTAGCTTTAGCATTAGGTAAAAAAAATCTTTGGTCTATGTCAAGATGACAGCGCTGTAAACGTTTACGCATTCTTGAAGGTCCTTCAGTAGGATCTAATTGCCATGAGCAAGGATAACAGTTTTCATCATACCATGGGGCCCTAAAAAATTTTCAAAGGTATAATTTTATGATTATTTTTTTTATAACTTTTAACTTAATATTTGCAGAGTGAATCTATTTAATTTATTGTTTCTCTGTTAATAAACATTTCTTATTTTATTTTTTTAAACTTATAGAAGCTAAAAAGATTAAAAGTATTATAAACAGTTATTATAAAAATTAAAGATAATAATTAATAAGAATTAAAGTAATTAATTTAATTAATAAGTAATTTAAGTAATTAAAATAATTAATAAGAATTAAAGACAGCTATAAACAGTTAAAACTGTTTAAATCTAATACTCCTATAGCCTATAACTTTTTGAACAAATTTCAAAAATGGTAGATAGTAATAATTTGATCATCGGTGTTTAAAACTAATGTTTTTCTTTTAATTTGAAATACAAGAAATTAAAACATTTTCTAAACATAAATATGTTTTTTTTTATATAGCATTTAAACACTGTTAAAAGCTAACAACTTTTATTTTACTGTTTGTACTAAAATGATACCCTTTTTTTTACTAAAAAAGATTTAGAATTAAAAAAAAAATACCTCTCTTGAGTAAGGTGCTGAATAAGATTTTTCCATGCTTTTCGAACTTCCACGTTTTTTGAATCTGAATCACGAATGACACGCAGAAGCTTTTGTCGCTCTCTATCTTGTATATCCACAATAACTTTAGAAACCTTCATGCCAAGATCCATAATAGATCCGCAAAGCCTTTCATTGCAATCTAAAATTCTGTTTACAATTGTTCTGTAAAAATTCAGTAAACAATAAATTCTGTAAATTACTCAACACTAAACAAAATTATTTAAAACCTATTGTGGAGAGCCCAAAAAAACTTAATTTTAAAATAGAAGCTTTAAAAATTATAGGTTAAGAAAAGAAAGAAAAGTTAAGAGGACAAAAAGAAACATAAATACAAAAACCATAAATATTAAAAAAACAAATCTTTTTTTAAGTTTTAAAAATGTAAAACTTAAAAAAAAATCATCGCGAGAAGATAACCTTATAGGAGGAGAAAAACAATGGATTTGGTCCACAACTGACTAGGTTTTTGAGGAGAGCTTAAATTGTTTTTTTTTAAACATAAATTTTAGAAAATTTGAATCATGAAAAATAGGTAATTAAAATTTTTTTTTTGCTTTAATAGATAATTTAAAAAATTACTTATTTGAACAAAAACTGTTCTATACTTAAATACTAAATCCATTCTAAAAAATAAAGGTAGTTGCAATAACATGTAGAGGATAATAACTACTTTATAAATAGACATAAAATTGTATTTGAGGATTTAAAATAAGATTTTGAAATCTGAAAAAAGGTTTTATTGATATCTATTATTTATATAAGCATGCCAAAAGATCAAAACAACGTTTCTAGACATGTTTTCTTAAATTTAAAAAAAAAAAATTTTTCCAGGTCCTTTTATTTTAACAAATATGTTTAAATAAAAGAATTAAAAATTTACATTTATTTAATGTATTAAAAAAACCCCTTGGGTAAAAAAATAAATTAGCTTGCGTTTGTAAAGAATAAAAACCTTTAGAATAAATGCTGCAGCTATTAGGTACACGACTTCAACTTATATGCAAATTTAAAATTAAATTTATTTAAAAAATTAAATATAATAAAATAAATCTTGTATTGAAATATTTATAACAATTTAACATTACAGGTGCTTTTTATTTTATTTTAATGAGGACTTTTTTTTTAATTGTTCACATCTTTATCTTATAATTCTAAACCCCAAATTTTGATGAACAAAGCCGCTAATTTTTTAGGGGAAACAAGCTCTTGTCCTAAAATTTAGTGAATATTTCTACTAATAGTTGAGACTGAGAAAGATTCCCACAAAACGCTTACAATTTAGATTTAAAAAATATTACCTTTTAGTAGCAATTTTTGTTTTCTCAGTTTCTTCTTCTTTTCTTTTACGTTTAATCTAGAATAGAGTTGGTAACTAAATTAAATACTTTATCACAAATGGCTTTTTGTATTGCTCAAATGCTTTCTTTCACTAAAAATATTTTTTTGAAGTCTTAGAAATAGTTTTTGGCCTATGCGCTGAAAAAGTTTGAAATTTTAGACAATAAAACTTTTTTTAGACAATATGCTTATTTTATTAAAAAACATTTGAGTTATTATGTAAGTAGAAAACCCTTAGCAATTACCTGAAACTTACTTATCATCCACTAAAAAATCTTTAACAATCACCTGAAACTTACTTATTCAGCATCCACTAGAAAATCATTAGCAACCAATAAAAGTTTAAAGTCATTTCTAAATGACAGACCTGCTTTTTAAAAATGACTTTATGTTTCTCTCTCGTATTTGAAATGTTAATAGCAATTACCTTTTTTAACGTTTCAATGTTAAAACTAAAACTATATTTTGCATAAAAAAAAGGTGTTAATTTTGATATATATATATATATATATATATATATATATAATGAATATTGATGTAGACATAAAAATTAGTTTAAAATATACCTTGAATACTAAAATTAATTTATTTTAGTCATTTTTATGCCTTCGAAAGTTATGGTTATTCTCATTGTCGCATGATAAAAAAGGTATCTTTGTAAAATGTTATTTTAACCATAAATCTATTTGCATAATTGGAATTAATTTAGCATGAAAATATAGCTAACATGTTCACCTTGTTTTTGGTCAAATTAAAAATTTCATAAAAAAAATATATATTTTAAGAAAATAACGAAAGAACTATTGCAATTTTCCTGTAACATAAATTAACAATTTTAGAAAAAACAAAACTTTATCATGTAAAGTTTTGTTTTTTCTAAAATTTAGTTAAAAAACTTAAGTTTTTTAATAACATATACAAAAGAATATTAAATGTTATGTTTTTACATTTTAAGTTTTGAATAATGATGCTTAGTTAAAGCAAATTTTTATTTTAAATTTGTGTAACGTAAGTTAAAATTACATGCATTTACTGAGTTTCCTGCATTTTTTCGTCAAGTTTTTGTTACAAAATGAATTACATTATTAATTAATTTACATTGGTATGACAAGATTCTAACCTGAAGTTTTTTATATTAGGAGAATTTATAAAATTTTTTTTTTTTTTTTAATGTTAAAGTTATTTATATTATTGATTTTTTATTTGTTTATGAATTCTTATTTTAGTTGACATAAATTCACATAAATAAATAAAAATAAGAAATAAATAAATATTTGTATTTAGAAATTTAAAAAAAAAAAAAAAAGATCTATTTGCTTTTCTTCTAATATAAAATATCAGTATTAACAAAGTTGTCATACTAAAATAATTTTTTAAAGTCGCTCTTGGTCTTGCGTAAAAACTATTTTCCATAAGATAACTTTTATAGATGTTATGAAAAATCACTCAGGAAGAGTGACACCCTTTTTTAAAATTTCCATTGTTAATTAATTTTAATGAATGAGTTCAATACTTTCGCAACTCTTTTGTTACATAACTCTAACTCAGAATAATAGATATAAAAAATCCACAATAAAAATATCGCTCGGTAACATAAGTTAAATATATAGTATCAAAAAACCAGTTTATTTTCCTTAGACGCTCACCTCTGATAAATTTTTATATATTTTTTAAATAGGTATAGAATTCTCAACATCTTGTGAAAGATTCTACAGCAAACAGCTTTACTATATTTGCAGAAATCTGACCTAAAAGGTGAAGCAATTTTTTTAAATTAGTTTTCTGTGTAACGTAAAGTGGCATTTTCAGTAATTTTGCCCTCTTTTGGCCAGACTCATAACTTTTTAGCTTATTTTATTCATTAAACTAACAATTTAGACTAATTTAGTCTAACAATTTAATTAATTTAGACTAACATCTTTCATACAAAATTTCTAAAAGTATAATTTACAATTTAAATAGAAAAATATTGGATAAAGTTGTTGCACATATAACGTAACTTAAAAATGGAATTGCCCTTATATATATATATATATATTATATATATATATATATATATATATATATATATATATATATATATATATATATATATATATATATATATATATATATATATATATATATATATATATATATATATTTAGAGATAGAGAGAGAGAAAAAAAGAGAATACAATTAGAAAATTAAAAAATATTAATCATGTATTGTTGACTATTTCTTATAATTAAGATAATAAGTAATAGTTAAAAATAACAAAATAACAAACATCAGGTAAACAAAAATTATAATTTTTAAAAACATCAAGAAATAAAGAATAACTTTTCAAAAATTAGCCAGCAATCAAAAGTTACTAACAACATTATTTTAACAACAAAAAAAAAAAAAAAAAAAAAAAAACATACCTCTCGAATTTCATCTATAAGTATCTGATCACTAATATTTGTTGCATTCATATTTGAAAGTAGAGAATGAAGTTTGGCTAGTGTTTTTACCTCACCTTCAGTGAGATGATGACCAGGAAGATTTAAGAGATTAATAAGACAAGCAATGACTCGATCTTGTGTCTAATAATAAAAATAATAATAATAATAATAACAACAAAAATAATAATAATAAAACAGCTCATTTACAAAGCATTTTAGAGTAAGAAGATGTTTAACTTTATAATTTTTTACTGGATAAAAAATAATAAATGCCATAAAAACAACTGTAATAAAAAAAACTTCATAAAATAAATGTAATAAAAACAAAAGACAACAAAGATTTACACATAAAATATCTCTAAAATCTAAAAACATAATGTTTTAAAGACGTCTTGCAAGAGTGTTTGCTTGATGTATGTATCAAATGCAATCAATAAATGTTACTACTATATAAGGTATACATTCAATATAAATAAACTTAATTGTGTAATATTTATAATACGAATATTACACAAATATAGAGTGTTTGATAGTTATCAGACATTATTACTATCAGATATTATGTCTGTTATTATCAGACATCATTTTTTATTATCATTAAACATCAGGTCTGTTAGTATTAGACATTGTTTCAATAACTATCAGATATTATATTTGTTATTATCAAACACCATTTTTTATTACTATCAGTCATCATGTTAGCTATTATCAGACATTGTTTTTTATTACTATCAGACATCATATTTGTTATTATAAGACAATGTTTTAATTATTATCATCAAACATCAGGTCTGTTAGTATTAGACATTGTTTCAATAACTATCAGATATCATATCTGTTATTATCAGACACCATTTTTTATTATCATCAGTCATCATGTTAGTTATTATCAGACATTGTTGATTCCTATTACATGTCCTGTTTAAGAATATAATATAAGAATATAAGGTAATCTGTCTAATCTTTTACAAAACTGTTACAAAATTAATTTACGATCATAAAATTCATTTATAGTATGTAGTTAAAATATAAATTATAACTTATAACATTAATATTAATTATAACTTAATTCTAATAATAAATAAATAAATAAACCACAATAAATAATTAGTTCTAATAATAATTTAATAATAACTAATAATAATAGTTCTAATAAATAAACTTAATTCTAACAATAAATCACATATCATTAGGTATACTGTAGTTGCACATATCTACATTTTTGACCTTATTGAGATTTATTATTGAAATTATATATAATCAGAAGAACAAAGTTTTTTATATACTGTGAATACAAACAAAAGCATGCACAATCCTTGTGTATTCTTATTTTTATTATATGTTAAATATTAAAATAATATACAACCCTTGTACATTCTTTTTATTTATATTCATAATATATAAAATTTTTAGTTATCTTAAACTTAAATATCATCTGAACAATGATAAAAATGTAAATATGTGCTATTTTATGGTTTCCTTAGCAATCAATAAAATTCAAAACCTTTGGAACACTATTGGATGAGAGCATGTATTGAAGCAGGTTGAAGTTTTCAACAAGTAAGTCTGCGAAATAAATGCGAGCTTGAGTACTTCGTAAAGGTGAAATAACGTGTTGTATAAGATTTATGCTCTAAAACAAATTAACAACTCAGTATTATATTTCAAAACAAATTAACAATTTACAAATTAACAATTTACAAAAAAACAAAACAAATTAACAAAAGTATTTTATTTCTAAAACAAATTTAAAACTAAACTTTTTTTTCTAAATCGATCAACTTTAACTCAGACATTACTCAAAAAATTGTTGAATAAAGATTTTTCATTTATGAGACATAAGCAGTAACTGAATACTTGTTAACAGTATCACAACCACCAACTTAAGACTGCCAGCAACAAGACATGAAATTTTGAATAAAATGCATTAAATATTACTAAGTATATGAGAAATGGTACAAATTCCTATGAATTCTGCCATAAGATTAAAAACACCGGGGACTTTTGGAGTGACTGAGATTGTAAATTGAAACAAGACAATTAAAATTATTCTTTTTTTGCTTAGAGTTTCTTAATGGTCTATAATACAATAATGTCAAGTTTCATACAAAACGTGCTAAGAAAACAAAAAACAGCAACTTTATAAAATATTTAGTTAAATTTTTCAAGTTAATTTATTAGGCAAATTGTTAAACAATTGTATTAAAAAAAAATACTTATAAAAAGTATTTAATAGTGGTATGTATGTTAAGTAAGGACTGTGAAAAATAATTAAGTGGCATGAGGAAACAGTTGAGAGTTAGGTGTGAAAAATAACTGAGCAGTGTGAAAAAATATAAAAAGAGCAAACAAATTTTCCTTTATTTAAAAACTATAAAAATTTCAATATTTAAATAAGTTATGAAATATTAATCAAACAAACATTAAACGAACAGTATAAATATAGTCATTTTCACTTCCACTTCAAAAGTGGAAGTGAAAATGACACCAGTCAAAACCACTTTATTGATAAAAATATATTTTCCATAACCACCTTAGTGATAAAAAAATATTTCAAAACAAACTTAGTGATAAAAAATATTTATAATAAAACCTGTGTAATCTTACCTGTGTAATTAACTCGTCTTTTATATTCTTTAATAACGATACCCAAATGGTTGAATGTACACCAGCTCCCTATAATGTCACAATAACAATTAAGTAAAATTAAGTAAATAAGAAAGATTTCTTAAACATAATATATTAACTAAAAAAAACACCAGACTTTTAATCAACACCAAAAACTGATTTTTTATTAGTAACCACTGCAAAATAAGTAAAAAATTTTATTTAATAAAAACCTTTTTTAAAATGTAAATTTAGTAGTTTTTATAATCAAGTAATAAATATAAATACTAAAAATCAGTAAACATAAATACTAAAAATCAGTAATACTACATAACTACTAAAAAAATAATACAGACTTATTACAAAAGTACTACAGACAAAAAAAGATATTTTTATTTATTTTCAAGTCAATTAAAAAACTTACAGTTGCTGTTCTAACGCAGTTAAAGAGCCACAACAACAATGATCTACAAAATTCCCTGTCTGCATCACCATCTGCTTTCATTTTTGTTTCTTGAAGGGATTTCAAAGTATGACCAAACATTACAGTTCCTGTTGTTAGATCAGATTTACTGCACATTGTCAACTTAATAGCATCGTTTAATATTTCTTGAAATGTTAATTGGATATCAGCTGTTGAAGCAACAGAGGAAGATATTTTATTATAGGTACTACCACGAATTTTAAGCATAATATTTTGAGCAACAGATCCACGAATTGAGCGTCGAGAATCCATAGATGAATCACGAAACTGACTGTCAAATAAATTAAATTATTATCATAATAAATGAAAAAACTATACAATTTAAGATTACATGACATAGCGCTATAATAAAACTTATAAAAATATTTACTTAAATATTTTTACCTGCTTGCTGAGCACCACAGTGTTGACATGTAAGAATTTGGATGTTGAAATATAGAAAAAGCTGCTTGAATCAAATAGTATTTTAGGAAACGGCAGGTTTTATAAAGAAGAGCATTATTTCCAGCTAAAAAAAAAAAAAGATTTAGAGCTATTGTTTGAAATCTCTTCAACTGAGGTGGTTCCTTAAACTGAACTACAATTGGACTGCTACAATCGAAGAGGTTACTTTTTTTTTTTTATAATTTATACAACATAAGTTTTTTTTAATAGTTATTGTATTATGGATTCTTCACTGATGGCTAAACATGTGTTTCCATAAAGCCATATTTTATTTTCTCTTTTTTATGTAGCTGCTATTTCTAATAAAAAAACATTTTTTTCATCTTCAATTAGTCTCATTATTATTAGCAAGGTCTCTAATTAATCACAGTGAGCAATTTATTAACAAACTTTTAATATTTCATCATAAATCCAATAACTTACTATCTGAAAATCAATATGATCTTTTTTCCTTTTGCTGCACTGCCATAACAACAGAAAGGTTATACTGAGTATATAAAGCAGTGAGACAACAATTATTTCTTGTGACATATCAAAGGCTCTTGATAAAGTTTGACGTGCTTGTTTTATCTGTAAGCTCTCTTATATGGTGTATTTGAGAATGT